TGTGCTTGTCATTGTCAAGTCGACGAGCTGCATCAAAGAGCTCTTCCAAACTCTTTGTAGGTTGAGAATGATGTCGGGCACCCGATATGTCCGGGCCCCGATATACGCAAGTGTTGCCACATGCTCTCACTATGTAGGCCATCAATGAAGTCGTACTTGTTTTGATCTAGATCCTTTGTTGGAACACGACTAATCAAGCGAGTAAGCTTCTCAATATAGTCCCCGAGCGTCATTTTTCCTTGTTGGAAATGTTGAAGTTCTGTACAAGCATTCTCTATGTCGTAATGAGGGGCAAACGTAAACGGAAAGCAGCCTCAAACTCATCCATGGTAGACATTAGTGGTTTCTTATCCGCAACACGAGACTCCTCAAGCCAATTCCACTATCGAAGACCCATATCATGCAAAACTATCAGAATAGCCACTAAAGCCTCTACATTTGGAGTTCCTTTAGCAACCAAGAACTTCTTCACATTGGCTAACCAAGTGAGACACTTGTCCATACCACCATCACCAGAAAAAGTTGGAATCTTGAGTCGATCTACCAAAAAAGGCTTACTTGGAGCACTACCCCATCCAACTTCGAGTGCCTCAACACGCCCACGCATGGTATCCATCATGCCATGCATCTCGTCTTACATCTCTTACTGATTTCGATTAAGGGCTCACAGCTCATGAACCATATCTTGAATGGTCCAAATCTCTACAACTTCGTCGGCACCATCGTCAGTACTAGGATTCCAGTGTTCAACTTGGTCAGCCATCACAACCAACTTCTTTGATACCAATGTTATGATCCGGCACAAAAAGATGGAGATCTAGTCACCTTAGACTATGCTATACCACCTCTTGAGGTTCCTCACCACCCAACCACCCCTGAGCTACCTCAAAAGCTCCACTACACCACCGCTCCACTGTGAGCCCTAGGTTAAATCCCTTACCCTAACATGCCTTAATATACCTTTGAGCCTCCCTTTGACTGAAGTTGACCACGTAGTCAAAGTTGGCACCTAACAGTAGTGGTTTAATAAGAACTTTCGCTTATTGAGACTAATCCCTCAATATTGCTAAATGATAGTTTATCATGTCTACTAAGCACCCTCACTATCATACCCTATGTGTTAGTCCTATTCAGTATTAATTACTATTTATGGAAAGTGCCTAAATTTGCTAATTTGGCATATTTATAGAATGTAGAGATTATTTTGAACATAATGGTGTTGGTGCCATGTCTAAATTCACAGCTTAACACCATTCTATATTTAATAAGTTTCAAATTTATCCCATAAACTAGCTCTCCAACTAGACAAAATTCTAGGGTGAAATAGAACTTTGAAAGGAAACTGAGATTTTGTAGCACCATGATACTAGGCTAGCTTGCTAGACTCTTGAAGCTTAAGTGCCTTAGGCTTGCAAAAATCAGCTCATAGAATACATCTCAAAAGATGTTTACATTTCTTGTCTTTCAAGTATTTAGACTTTGAGTAAAACCCAACTCTAAGAAGTTCAAGCCTGCCTTGAGAATTCTTCCAACTTGAGAGTTCTTATCTTTGGATCAAGCTGACTATAGAGCTAGGTACTAGTAGATACTAATTGAGCTCAAACAACTTTCTAACCTACACTAGCACATAGACAGAAAAAACAAAGAAATGAGATTGTAGCTGTAGTAATTAAATAGTGTTTAACCATTTTTGTAGTGTATGGAATTAGAATATACTATCACTATGAATATTTAGAATATTAAGGAATTTTATGTTTATAATTTATAAAGCAAGATTAATCTTTTTGCATATCAACCATTAGATGGTAAAATAAATAAGAATATACTAGAAAGTGTTTAGGAAATTTTATAAATTATATACATGTCTATAAATTGTAAATACAATATTAATTTAGTACTAAGGGTGGCTAAGGGTAAAAGCCCAAAATGTGTGTTCCTCAGGGGGGAGGGGGTTTCAAATGTATAGGAGGGATAGTGAATAGATCAGGCATGGCCAACCAACATGAGGTATAATATAGCTTTCGCTTGCGTGCTTGTTTTTGTTTTATATGTGGCTTGGGTTTAAGCCCAAGTTTCACACCATGCTAGTTGATGGAGTATTCATATCCTCATATTAAGCCACTGGTATACAGTATTTATATCCTTGTATTAAGCCACTAGTGTGCTAAAATAGTGTTAAACTCTGTTTAGTTCCATTTTACATATTAGTTATAGCATTGGGATGTTGAATGCTCTAAAACTATTCTAAGTTGTTTTGTGCTCTTGTCCCTTCACTTCTTAAGCTGTACACTTGGAAGTCTATGTGCTCTAGTTCTTTCATTCCTTTGCTCCTTATTTAGGAGTTTAGCTCTGTTATTTCATTCAGTGGCCCAAGGCCTTGAAATTCAGATTCCACTTTAATATCCTTGGATATATAGCATATGACACGTGGCATATGAAAGGTTTAGGTTTCACTTTGTGGTTAGCCTCTAGTAAATCACCATAGGATAAAGGGTGAAAACCACATACACTACACTCACTTTACATCACAATCAAATTGCCATTTTGCTCAATTCACAAGCTAGAGTGCAAAACACTAGTTCTTTCAAATGGAGTTGTGCATAGGGAATGTCTCTAATCCAATAGTGTTGTTAGAGTCTAATCTTTGACCATTGGAACAACTCACATGGAAGTGCATTATTGTCCAAGCTCTCTACATGAATAAATATTAATTACACTTCATTTTTGGCTTGCTAGAGTGGTAGTGAATATACCTATAAAATATTTAAAATTTCTTGAATATTTGTTTATAATTTTAAACTTAAACCCTAAAATACTATTGTTTATTCTCATCTAATAAATAATTATAATTATTGATCAATTGGATTCATAAATAGTACTAAACAAGAATTAGAATTATTTATAAACTAATATTTATTATATCCCAAGTGATGAAAACATCTTTCTTTTAAATTTAACATTGATAATGCATCTCTAATATTTCTTATTATTGTTTTTATTCACAAACCAATGGATGAAAGGAAGGAATGGCAGTGACCACCAAATGGTTTCTTAGGGCAGCTGGCATAAGGTTATTTAAGGTACTTTATTTTAAATTTGTTTTCTTTCATAACTATATTTAATCATATATATAAAAAAAAGGTATAAAATTCCAAAGAAACAGGGGGTTGATTGCAAAAAACTGGACATTGTGGCTCAAGATCCACTAGATAACTACAACTACACTTGGTGGATGGTGCAAGCGTGAAGTACATCATTGCTCATCTCACAGTATATATAAAGGAACGAGCAAAGTTGCTGTTTTTAAAACATATGACCACAAGCAATGGAAAGGCTTCAAACAAAAGCAGCTATAAGCTAGCGGTTGAAGTTTGTTAGCACTTATTTCTTTTGTTTTATTGGCATTGTCTCTTAAAAGTCAAAGCAGTGACTATTGCATTTTAACTTTATTATTTTGTTTTTTTCCTTACATTAAGTAATTTATCTTTTTCGACTTTTGATTAATCATTCTCCTTTGTGAAGATGAAGTTCATTTCAGCACTTTTTTTCTATTTTAGTGTTGTTCAAGCCATGCGCTGGGAATTCTCCGACCAGCACAATGCTATAACACCAGCCGATGTCAATATGATTCTAGATGCAGTGATTGATAATCTGATTATGTTCGGCGATGATACTTACTATGAAAGTGGACGCGCTTATGTTGATCAAATCACTGTGACAAATAACGTTGTGATCGACATCGTCATCTTGGCTTATCATACAGGCCCCAATCTGGATTTCTGCCATGTCAATCCAGGTAACACCATCAGCGTGAGAGGCCTTGTTATCAAAGCGATCATCCGATCCTTAGTAATGTATACAAGAGGTCAAATGCAAGTTTTTCTAGCCAGCAGCATGCTTGCAGTCTCCGAGATGTTTGGAGTCCAATATCGCATAGCACCAAATCAACAGATGGAAACACTTCACAGCCAAACGAAGATTCTACTTGGAAGCAATCGAGGTGATTGCCAAGCGAAATTGACAACGCTGGACAACATCTTCTACAACGGTCTTCGTCGAAATTTTGAGCTTCAGTCCCCGAATTTGATCTACACATTCATGCTCCAGGATGATTGTAGCTTGTCTTTGAATGAGGGCGGCCGAAGGCAAGTTTGGACGAATGGGGTGTGTGGGAGAGGAGTCGATTGCTATCTCACAGTCGAACTTAATGGGAACATGGTTGTCAAAGAAACCCCAAGTCAGGCTGTTATATGGTCACTAGATAGGTTCTGTGATGGACCATGCTATGCATTTGTGACTATGCAAAGAGATAGAAATGTGGTGCTCTATCATGTGTTTAAGTCCAGCCCAGGTAAACTTTATGCTGCTTGGGCCACAAACACTGTGAAAAAATTTTAAAATAAAAGGTCGGCATTAGTTGAAATCTATCTATGGTGCCCATCTTGAAGCATGAAACTGATGGATGTATAAATGCAGTTTGAATTATTAGTGCTGTGTTGTCGGTGTCTTTGTTGGTGTTGCACTCACTGGCCCAGCCTATTCAGTGTCTCACTCAAGGTCCTTCATGATTATCACCTTCATGACGTGGGAGATGTGGATATGCTGTAGCTCCATGCATGTGAAGTTTTCCTCAAAGCAAGCAGTTCTCTGTTTCTTGAACTAGATATATGTCCCCATGATTCGTGTTTGCACACCTGCCCGACGTAGATTTCTTCACTCCTCTGGATGTTGTGTAGAAGAAGGATATCAGCTCCTTGTAGTGGCAGTTGGAGCTCTAACATTTATGGAAAAAGAACATAGTGCATAGGAAAAAGAGGATTATTTTCACTTATATATCATCATCTAGTTGTATATACACTAGAGAAATCCTGGATAATATTTCACAATGAATGAGAAATATTAATTAAACTCCACATATGGGGTACTTGCTTCTGCTCTATAAAAGAAAGATTACGTCATAAAAAGAGGATCCAGCTTACCTCCTGGTAGAAATGACAAAGCTCTTGAATGTCTTGATAGTTTTGCAGAGCTTGCTTCAGTGTCACTGAAAAGGAAAGGGAGCGGTGAGTCTCTAGATCAATCAGAATTTTCAATAGACGCTTACATTTTGATGTCTTGACCTTGGGAGAGCCAAACTTTCAGAGCGGCAGTAGATATTCTGCGATTCCAGCTTCGAGATGCCACACTGCGATACAGTTTGAGATGAAAAACTTTGAATAATACTGTACCTGGTGAATTCGTCGTCAACGTAGACATCCAGTACTTCAGTCAACACAAAAACGGGCCTGGAAGGCCTTTGAGGAATCTGAACAAAACGTCCTCAGCAAGTGCATGATCATCATCACTAACGTTTGCTTCATTCCATCTAGTCGGCTGTTGAACGTTTCATCCTCTTGGCTTGAGATCCTAAATTGGTCCAAACAGGCAAGGGGTGACCTTGAGCACCGTTCTGTACTTTCGATCCTGGATTAAACTCTAAATCGACAAACACAGAGAACCTGCATGGGTCAAACCTTAGAACAGCACAGCGGTGGCGCATTGCCCTTCGAAGACTTTTGTAGAGGCCTGCTCGGCATGCTTCCTGAGCAGTAGAACATGCAGTAAAAACTCAAGTCAGAAAAAAAACAGCCTACCTATTCTTTTTCCAGATTGTGGAAAGACGAAGGATCCAAATGATCTGGCAAGCCCTTCCTCCACAGTGTCTTCCTCTTACAATGCCAACAATAAGCATTTTGATCAGGGCTCCAATACCCACAGAGCATGCTGCAGGAGCGGAATCGGCCATACAAATGGATCCGCGTTGTACCAGCGCCATGGCCAGGACAACAACATAGGATCGGATCGGATTGCTCTAGAAACAAGGTACTGGATTTCAATACTTGGATGCTGCCTCGCTCCTAGCGCCTACCTAGCCCTCGCTTCCAATGTCCAATCCGATGCACATTTCATTGTCTACAAAGGCAGTTTATGTGGTATTAAATGTGGCAATGTTAATTAAAACTTTATAAATTGTAGTAATTTGATATCACTAATGAGGAGTGGAGAGGATTTATGCAAATTGTGGTGGCAACCTGCTTGATCTAGTGAACCTCATCATGGGTCTTCAAGTGCAGGAAGTAGTTTTAGATGGCATGGTAGATGTGGCAAAGATTAGCATGGAAGTGGTTTTAGATGGCATGGTAAATGTGGCAAAGACTAGTGAAACATTTTATAGTTTCACATTCATGATTCATATTAAACTTAATTATTATTGAATTTCAAGAATTTGTAAATGTTTCATCATTGATTGTGACATTCAGTTTTTTTTACCTAATAACATACACTATTAGAGTTTATGACTCTCCAACATATTGCCACATGTCCCAACTGACAGTGATCTCAAATATACAACATCCTCGTAAAATGCTCAAAAGAAAGAAATTAAAGTAGAATGGGAAAACTTATGCAAGAACATGTGTTAGCCAACCTCCATGCTTCTTTGTCACTATTCTCACCATGTGGAGGCTCCAAGCTAGGAGGTCCTATATCCAATCTTGAAAGACAAAGCTACAAAGCATGTTGCAGATGCTGTATATGTGCCATGGATCTCTTGCTCCATTTTCATGAGCCTTCCTTTGGAATACCAAGCTTCTTTGGTCCATACTTCACGCCAAAAGCATTCAATTCTTAGGTGCACTATGCATCCTAAATTAACAAATAAATTTTGCAGTGCAATGCAATACATGATGATTATGCATTGAAGTGCCATGAAAAAACGTTGTGTGAGCATTCCATAAAGCTCACGGTCAGACATGAGACTGAAGATAAAAGCATGGGTTTGAGCATCGTGCCCGTCCAGCAATCCCCACATCAACTCTATATCAAATGCGGGCTCTCCTGGAAGATCAAAAACATGAAAGGAAATCCAAGAACCCAAGGGAAAAAAAAGTACCTGAATTGAGCTCCGGAGGAGAATACTCCAGGCACGGCTGGCGCACCACCAACGAAGACCCTTTGGCGATCTCTTTGAGATGGCCTGTGAGAACCAGAGCTCTTCGAGTTGCCACACAGCTGACTTGTCCAGCCTCCATCTTTTCGTGTCGGTGATCTGTTTCTTTCCCCTTGAGCTTAAAACGTAACCAAGAGTGCCGTACCTTGCCCAACCGGATGAAGGCGCTGCTCCAAGATTAGCAACCCTTTACATTTGTGGATAGATCGCGCAAGCACAGTAGTTTTTGAAGGAACGTCGAGTTTTACAAGGTGACTCTTGAAGATGTTGCTGTTCCGTAATAGGTGGAAAGCAGGGACTCGGGAGAAATCTCCAAACGAAACTGTTTTCCTATCTCGCGAAACAAGTTCTTCGTCCCTGCGTGAACCAAGTTACATGCCGATTTACGAAAGTGAGAGAGTTACCAGTGAGGTTGCATAAACACTGCAAACGTGTTCCTTTCCACAAGTGGATCGTCTTGAGCCGTCTGTATAGACATTGCTACGAAAGAGGAAGTAAAAGACACGTACATGAACACAATGTGGTGTCGCATGAAATGCACCATTCAATATTAGCTCCGTCGCTTCTCCTACCTGGTAAGCAATGTCATCCTTTCTGAAAGTTGCCTACACGAAGACACTTTCAACACTTTGATCCGTATGGACGAACACTTCGTTTACCTTGACAATTGCACCAGACCGAGTTCTAACATAAAGCCCTGCTTCAGAATCAGGACAGTCTATTTCCTTCCTTCTCTTGTGTACATTGCACAGGTCAATCCTTTAACGCACCAAAAAAAAAAGTTAAGTTAGACAAAAACGCACCGCGTAACTTGAAAACGTGCCTGTAAGAGATCCGTGATCGACGTGCCAGCCACACCACGACGATGACTTTGTACCTGAGCATTTGCTGCAAGAAGCTTTTAGAAATTTACAGCAGGAGGAGCAACGAAACCTTGGGTAATTATGGAGCAGACGGCCTTTGTGGCACAAAGAGTTCTTGAGCATGTCCGTGAGCCTTGGATCACCGCCCTTGCGAGACACTGAAGGGACAGGAAATTAGAGGAGACGAACAGGAAAAGGATCTCAACCATGTTTGTCGCAGTGAGCTGCGAGGTGCAGGCCAACCTTTACAATCAGGCTTCCGAGTTTCTTAAAACCTGCAAAGTGATAGAAGAAAACATCATCCACGTAAAGAGAAAACAGAGATGTACTTGATTCAAGGTCAGGTAACTCCTTTCTGGGCCATAAGTTCGCTCGACAATAAGATGGATACCTGCGTCCATTGAGACCGGTTAAAATTTGTGAGAAGGAAGTAAACAAACCTTTCTATGAGAGCTGGGTCATCGGTCGGTCTGTCCACGATTGGATTCGCATAAAACGAAGCTTTAAGCTCATCTAAACCAGAAGGAACATATGAACTCGAAAGAAGGAAAACAAAACCGTTACGAACGAATACGTACCAAGTTGGCCGGATTCTAGGAACTCTTTTCCGTGGCTCCAACCAAAAGAAAATCTGCGAGCCGCTTATACGGAAGTTCTAGCTAGAAAATTTTGAGTTACCTGCTTGCTGGATCTTCTAGCTCCTTGAGAGCATTTTCGGGAAGAGAAGAAAGGCTGCACAGAAAAATCGAAAACATTGAGTAAGAAGAGACTATACTCGATACCTCTGCGCAAGATTTAACAGATTACGATTACTCCGCATTTCAGTGAATCCCGGAACCTGACAAAAACACAAAAAGAATGCTCGTGGAAGTAAAATTCCATTCAAAGCTTACGTTTGAAACGGCAATAATTCCCAGTCCTTGAGCTCCTCAGAAAAATCCACAGTTTCATTCTACAGCAAGAATTGATCGCTCATTCGATCCGAGGCAGGAAATCTCACTTGGAGCTCCGAGAAGTCGATCATCACTACCTTATGGCGCATGTTGTTGCCGAAATCCAAGTTGTGATAGGCACCTTGAATCATGGAGATCAAGGGCCACATTCAACTGGCAAATTTCAGAAGAAATTCCTAGATGTAGCTAGTATATAGCTAGTGTTTCTTTCTTCTTTCATGAAGCAATTGTTTCCAGTTTCCTTCTGAAAAGATCCTATTCATTTTTTGTTCTCATTCTGGCTCTTTGTCATAGTATCCGAGCAGGATCAAAAGGATGGAAATGCTGCCACCATCACTTTCTCAAATGGCCATTCCATTTCCATTTTTGATGGATCTGGAAACTTCTCAAGCTGGAGTCACCAGATGGAGCTCATCCTCAAAGGTGAGGGAGTTTGGGGTGTTGTCAACGGTGATGCAGGCCATCAGAAGGTGGATACCTAGAGTCGGCACGAGGACAAGGGCATGGCAACAATCGGGCTCATAGTCACAAAGAGTGTGCTGGATGATCTCGCCCTCAGTGAGAATTACACTAGCAGCAAGCTGTAGCTGTGAAAAGCACAAGCAGCAAATGCATGTCCAGATGACAGAGTCAAAAAGCTTTGACCAGTTCATGGATGGCAAATTGAGGATTCAGATAAGGAGAATAAGCTTCCTCCTCTTCAAAACTATTTCGTTCTTTATGCTCTTCTTAATTCTTTCCATTCTCTTCAAAGTAACTTGATGTAGGTTGACAAGCTTCAACTTAGTCATGTCATGTGTGTCGTCAATGAGGAGATAGCTCTTCTAAGCAATTTGTGAAGAAGAAGAACAATAACAAGGATAGAAGAGTGATGTGAAGTCCAACAAAGAGTCCAAGAAGAAGAAAATGTTGCTGAGGTCAAAACCAAGCTTTGCAACAATGCCATGGTAACTAACTCTTTTGTGATTGATCCTGAACCTATCTTGGCATAAATATCATTTTGTCAAGTATAGAAATTGTCTTGGCCAGCATGTTGTGCAGGTAGGAGACAACAATGAGCATGGTATTCATGGCATTGGTGACATGAACGTTTAGACATCTCATGGGAACTTAACTCTGACTGGGGTAATGTATGTTCTTACCCTTCACAAAGATTTGATGCTGATATGGGGAACAATTTATGTTTTGATCATCAAGTTTGTGTCATTTAAAATGCATAAACTCATGATGTGGTTGCTATAGCTCCTAGGGAAGGAAATCTATATCGACTCAAAGACAAGGGGTCTACCTACTCTTTGATTCTTGCCTTTGTTGGGAAAGGCATATATAATCTATGGCATAAATTGCTCATTGTCTTGGATTTCCACCTTAAGTGTTGCAAATGTGACTTCGGGTATTGAAAGTTATCTGTCGGCTAGTCCTTTCGGATATTCTTTCTTTACTGCCACGATAGCAAAAGGTCGGTATTGCTAAACCCATTATCAATTTTCACTTGAGCTAGTTGAGAAATTGGTCAATGACCATGCACTTAGATTAGATAAACATAAGATAGGAAACCTATGTGTTTCTTGTTGAGCATATTCAGCCTAGTTTAAGAAACTTGTGTTATTAACTTGCACTT